AAGACTGGCAAAAAATGTTAGCATTGTGTGCTTGCTACATGCCAAGAATGAGCCCACTGAATCCTCAGAGTAACCAGTTGTGATTTATCTATTATAACTCTCATTATATAGATGGGAATAATGCAACTCAGAGGGATTAAGCAATTTTCCCAAGATCGCACAGCAGATAAGGTGTGAAGATGCAAAGACTAAATTCAGGTATGTTTAATTTCAGAAAACCTGCTCTTTTATCTGTTCAAAAAATCATTTGACACAATTAAAACTGTATTTCACACAGTTAGATATATTCTTATATCACCTAAAGAGCCAGACTCTTTTCTACACACTATGGAATATACACTGGCCAGCTAGCAATAAAAAGGAACAGAGGTGTGCACTTTGCTCTCTCTTTAGCTCCAGACAGAATCATCAGCAAAAACTATTACTGGGCCAGAACATGCTTAGTTTATGAATCAAAAACAAAGACACAGTTATTAAATATCAATTCTCTGCTGTCAAGCAAATACAATGAACAACTGTTGGAAAAGATTATCAGAAGGGGAATGCAACAAATTTAAGGAATCTCTTTATGAAAATTCAACACTGAACTTACAGTGTGGGAATCACAACAAATACTCACTTGACAAGAAGTACAATATCTTTAAATTTGCTCTTAGAAATATCTTAAATGAATTTCATAGTAAAGCACGTTGTTGAGTTGGCCATGGTAGATGCAAATAAGAACATTATATTCCATTAAGTATTATTTAAAGAGAATAAAAAATGCAAAACTAGGACATGCTTCCCCACCCCAAAGCTGCAGAAATCCTGACCCATAGAAAGCTTCACGATAAAAGGGAAATTGGGTGTCCAGTGATATTCAAATTGTCACTATAATGGAGGCTCAGCAGAGGTCACATTCACTTATTTTAAAAAGCTTTCATAACAGTGAATGAAGTCAAGATGAACCAATGGTCTAGGATCATTGCTGGAAGCATAACCACCCAACTCTCAGTACTAGGAGTCAGTTGATTTAATATAATAATAGATTAGTCACATAATAAAATTGCTAAAAAATGGAGACTGTATGTAGCAGAAGCAATAGAGTAAAAAATATTACCCTCAACAGATCTGGAAAGATATTTCTCTATGACATACATTTCATCTAATATACTAATATGCGTTAAAAGTGAGCTAGATGCAGTAAATAGAAATGCAAAAATGTTCTTTTTTAAGGACAATTAAAGGAAAATATTGCCAAGTAATAGAAAAGAAGACAGACTTCTTGGTGTTCCTGAAATTAAGAATCTAATAAAGAAATAAACAAGTTCTAGAGGGATAATGGGGTGTTTCTTGGCATTATGATATGACTTTATTTGTAGAATAAGCTGATTTATAATCTTACAAAGAATAACAGAAAAATTTATTAATTTTTCATTTAATCTTGAATTATGTGTAAACCTAGAAAATGATTTTAGCTCTATAAAGGTTTTATAAGGAGTAGTGCAGATTGTGTTTTCAATCTAATTAGAATCATGCAATTTTAAAGTTAAGGATGCTTCTGAAAGAGAGAAAACCAGTTCATAAAGAATTGGAAGAATTGATCCTGTTATTAACGAAAGCTGGTTAATTTGGTAAATCTTATGGCATTCTCTCTCCAAGTAACTAGAGTAAAACCTACCACCACTCTGTTTATCTGGTATTGAGAAAAAGAATTAACAGGCCCTAATAAATTTTAAATAACCGGGTCATAAAAGTATATGAATGTTTGTGCATATACATGTGTACAAACATTAAATGATGTACTTCAGATAAAGTAGACATGTCTAGATTAATCTTTCATTTAAAGATCTGAGTGAAAGAAGGAGAAGCATATTGGGGAACATTGTCCTCCTGACATTTAACAAATCCACCAAGCGTGGAAATTTGTCTTGCTCCCTTGCCTTAGATCAGTCCAATCCACAGAGCACATTTGTCTGGCCCATTTAAGGTACTGCATGCCTTTACCAATATTTGGATCAAATGAATGTGTTATGTATTTTAAATGAAGCAGAAATTGTAAAGGCAACCCTTTTTTGTGGACCAGAAACATTGTGGTACACTATTCTATCAATAAAGGAACTGGAACACATTGTTTTCTCAAATCCAAAGCAACAATAGAACAAAACATCAAGGAAAATGAAATCAAGATGAGTAACGTAACTTGGCATGTTTATTTCCACAAGGTCTTAAAGCTCCATATTTAAGAAAGAAAAAAGTAAATTGAGTTCAAAATACATAAGTACTTTCAGATATCAAAGGAATTTTAATCTCTGGTAAATTTTTATGTGAGCATTTGACTATATACGCATTGAAAAAATACATTTTTATAATCAAATTTGTTTTATATTTTATTTGCCTTCTAGTACAGCAGGTTTAATTTTTACTCTTCTTCCTCTTTGTCCTATGCTTCCAAGGGAAAGGAGCAAGTAGAAAAAAGAAAAAAAAAAAAGAGAAAACATTCTAAAAAAGAAATATGATAAGGATTTGTGTGAGAAAAAAACATGATATATTTTATCTTTTTAATCTTTTGTTTCTACACATACCGCTGTATTAGTGCTTCCTATAACTGTTTGAACAATCTCTCAATAAACTATTTTAAATATATTCTGACTTTCATAACTATTGAGTGCTTATAAAACTGCCCCAAATTAATAGTTCAAAATAATCTCTAGAACTATGCTCTTTGTTAATGAATATAGTTATGAATGAATTCCTTTCAGATTGCTGTCTTGCTTGGTACTTATTTTTTTACCCCAAACATTCCCTACTTCCCACATTTAAAAAAAATGATAGTTGGGTGGGGTTCGACTCCATCAGTATCTTTTATCTGTACTACAACTAGAAAGAGGACAACTACACAGATACAACATCTCAACATTTCTTGTAATGTTCCCCAAATTACCATCTCTGTGAACTAGTGGAAGCCAGCAGCTTAACATTTTGATCAAATACAAATTCTAAGCTTTTAAATTGCTCATACTTAGCAACATTTCTATTACTGGTCAGAAAAGTGTATCTTTGATCCTAGCTCTTCCTGTAACTGACTGTGGGATCTTGGGCGGGTCATGCATTTGGAGTTCAGCTCTCTGGAATATAGTTTCTATAGCCATGTCTTCTCTAGTGCAGATCATTTTAAGGTACTTTTCTTTTCAAAATGCTATGACTTATGAATTAGAGTGCTGTACGCTCTGGAGCAAGAATCCACCCATTTCAGCATTTGGTCATTATGACGGAGCTTAACACCCACATTGCGAATGTAGTATTCATAATTGTGAAATAATTCCAAAAAAAGAACCAAAGGTGTTGGCTCAATTTAAATGATCAAAACAAAGCTTAGCCTTCTATATATTTATAATATGGATTGAGACATTTTTCACAATTCTACTAAACAAAGAACTTCTCTCAGTCTCATAAAAAATTGAGACCGAATCCACTAAAACTGTATTCAAAGTCAGCAATAGTTAGACTGAACCTGGAAATCCCATGAACAGTTTTAAACCATTGAACAAACACACTCCACATATAAACTGATGGATCATATCACATTAGAAGTGTACTTCTTCTAATTACAGCTAAGGAAGGTGAAGATTTTGGTCTGGATCACGTCACTGATGTTTCTGTCTCACTAAAGCTGTGACCCGTTCATTGAAATCTCAGGGAGAACAAACCTGAATAAACACTGTAGACTACATAAAGGAATTAAGTGCCTGACCCAGTTAGATAAAATGGAATAAACTTTGTCACAAAGATGTCTAAACACGACTAACAAAGGAATGAGATAATTTGACCTGATTTCTTCTGTCATTTATACTATTCAAATATAATAACATATGTTGCATTATCAAGATAAAACTTGGAAATCATGATGAATTTCTCCCCAGGTAACCTAACTGCACATCTAATAGTTACTTCCAGTTGGACGATGTTACACAGGGTTGGACCTAGGTTCCTTTTCTAGGTGGCCAGAGCAAGTGAGTATTGAGCACTTTCTATTTGTCTTGACACCAGGCTAAAACTATCCATCCATGACTTCATTAAATCCTCATAAGTGCACTATGATGTAAGGGCTTCCAGAAAGGGAATTTTCAGGACAGGATACACATTTTGTCAAAGTTTGTGCAGCAAGCAAGTGGTAGAGACAGGACACCCTGGTGAGTTCCTTTTTCCTTTTGTTACCAATACGGCTGCTTTATTTCTTCTTTATTGATGCTCCTCCTCACTGCTAACTTCCACACAGGAAAAATAACAGGCTACGGAGCCCTCAGTCTTGGTTTCTTCTGGCAATAGTAAGGGTGAGATTCTACTAGAACACGAAACCATACGCTCCCTAACTCCCACCATTATCACACCCAGCTCTTGAGTGTACAGTAAAGTTCTCACCACTGCTGCTCTTAATCAGTGATTTTCAACCTTATTCATTTCATGGTCACATAAACTAATTAATAAAATTTAGCAATACAGCAAAACCTTTTTTTTGCTGATCAATTTTTGATTGATTTATACCAGGCAGCTAGTGTGTTGGCTGTTGTCAGTTTTTTATTTGATGATCTAAGAGGTAAGAGGCCAGTGCCCCTGAAGAAATAGTCAGGTATTGCATGTATTAAAAATTCTCATGGTACACCGGTTTGAAAATGGCTGCTCTGAATGAAAACTCACTACACCTTTCTGCTTTGGTTCCCCTGCACCTCTCCCATCAAGAAAACTTTCAAGCATACTTTGAACATTAAACCATAGAGAAAAACCATTGCTAAAGTTAACTTCCCCTCAACACGAGATGAAAAGTACTGTCAGCTTGCTTAGGCTGAAGGTCCCTGGGACAGAGAGCTGCCATTTGCGTCATTCTCGTGACACAGGAGGCAATGAGTCACGAATTATGCTGAAAGTCATTTTTCTTTGTAGGTTGTTTCAAGTAGGTCCAAGTAAGAATGAGAAACAAAATATTTTTCATTGGAAGCATGCATGAAATTATGATTTCTGACCTGGATCTGTTGCTGAAGCAAATTGATTTTGTGTTGCTGCTGCAGAAGTTGCTGCTGCTGTCTGGCAATCTGTGGAGAGACAGCACAGGAAAGTGTTAAAGTGCATTGTGTGTTGTGGTCCTGGGGGAAATCACCAGTGTTCTGCTTCTCAAAGTTTGACTTGGCACCAATTATTAAGATGATGCAAATAGATGTACTTGTGTCTCTATGGTCCCAGCAATTCATCCTTAAGTAGGATCAAACAAGACATTCAGTCTTTAGGAACATGTATGGTTCTTTTGGCCCAGAACAAATGAAGCCCTAAGACACTACAGCAATGATCTAATCCAGTTTGAAATGTTAGTTTCAAAAAACCTCACTTCCTGGAAATATGTTAAGAAGCCACTGTCTTGGATATTTTCAGCTCTATTTTATGAAAGAAAGTATTGATTAAATGGGGTTTGGGAATCAACGAGTTCCGAGTAGCACAAAGTATTGTAAGATGCTTTCTTTCTTAGTGATGTTATAGTTTTGGTGTTTGTTTCTTGCTGAAATACTGTCCTCATTTCTGCTTCCCACAAACCTCTGAACTGCCATCTCCTCCACACACACCATTCTGGTGCCTGCTCCCATTCTCAACTACAATGATTCCCAATAAAGTCACCAGTCACTTCTATTTTTTAAAAAATCCCGAAGCATTTTTCATTCCTCACCTTTTGACTTTTCATCAGAAGTCAACACTCCAGTGCTTTCAATGATCCTGAACCTTATTTCTCAGCTTCTGGGACATCATGTGTTCTTGCTTTTGCTCCTGCCTCTCAAGCTGTTCCTCCTCAGTCACCTTCAAAGGCTTTATCCAGTGTTGTCATTCCATAAGGCTTAATTTTAGACTCAATTCTTTTCCCTCAATACCTACTTCCACATGTACGCCAAGTGCTTATAAATTTGTTTATCTAGACCAGACCATTGCTTCAAGTTTCAGACCCATCTATCCAATGACATTCCCACAGGTACTTCAAATTCAACAGGTTAAAACTAAATTCAGACTTAATGCTTTCATGTGGTCATCTAAACTATTTTCTAAGCCAGTGGCTAGCACAATCACTCTCTTATGTACTCTGATTACTATCTCTTACTTATACATACTGTGCTATGGATCATATATATTTTGTTCATCATTTGCAAAAAAGCCTGGAGCAAAAGGAGTACAGAATAAATAGTTGACCAGGAATGCTTGCTTGAATAGATGAGAAGAAAATTTTTTAGGCATTTCATTGCATCATAAAGGGTAAGTAATCTTCTTGAGAGATTTTTAACATCACTCTCTTATAAATAAGCTCTGATTCTTATACTCATCAGAATCATTTTCATTAAAAAGTGTATTTCCTTAAATTCAGTATCAGGAAGCTAAAAGCTCGGGATAAATATGATTCAAGCAGAGTCCTTTAGTATCAATGCAAGAACCCATATGCAGTGGATGGGTCTGCCTGGCTATGCAATAAACTTTTTATTTCTCTTATGGATACTGGTACAACTATAATTACTTTAATACTTTATTTTATCTTAGGAATGTAGTAACAATGATTTTTTTCTAAGAAAGGTAGAAAAGGATATGAAAAGGGAGTATCACTTTTTTCTTATCCAGTTCTTTCTTCCCACATACCAATATTTCAGCTGGTATTTAAATCCTCTCATTAGCATCTTAAGACTTTAATAAAGAAACTGACCACTTCATACCTTCTACCCTTATTCCTGTTCCAAGTTACCATTTCTTCTTGCCCGGACTATTGTGACAGCCTCCTACTCACTTTTTTTGCTTCTGCCCTTGCTTCCTAAAACCTATTATAAACTAGCATCTAGAGAGACCCTTTGAAAATATAAGTTGTGTCATATTATTCATTGTTTCAAAACACTGTCTCACTCAGAGTAAAGGTCAGTGTGCTTGTAATGCCCGCAAGCCCAATATGACTTGGCCACCTGCTACCTCTCTGACTTCATTTCCTCCTTCTCTTTCCCTTGTCCCTCCACGCTTGCCACACTGCTCTCCTGTCTCTTGAACATACCAAGGATGTTCCTACCTCTCAATGATACTCCTACCTCTGGACCTCTTGCTTTCCCCTTGTTGGAAACACTCTTTGCTCACTCCCTCGCCTCCTACAAGTCTCTACTCAAACATGACTGTGTCAATAATGTCTTCCCTGATCAGTTGCTTTAAAAGAGCTACTCTTACTGACATCCTCATCCCTAATCATCTGATCTATTACTATAATTCTTATCAATATGTACTACATTTTACTTTTTAAAAAATGTATCATCTATCTCTTCCCAACTACAATTCAATATATGAGGGACTTTAGTCTGTTCCATTCTTTGCTGAATCCCAATCACTAGAACACAATCCGGAATCAAATTGGTACTCAGTAGATATTCATTAAAGAAATGAAGGCAAAATGGAATGCAGAGTATCGTGGAAAGGCTGAGCAGTACACAGGTTCATTAGTATCTCCCAGAGCTTTCATAAGATTAGTGTGTACAGAGTAGGCATACTCTATACTAAGTATACCAAGTAGGCATTGACTCTCCTGTTAGGAGAGTCAGAAAAGAAGATAAACCTACGCCTTAAGGCAAGACTACTAAATGCCATTCAGAAATTTTACTGAGGCATTTCATTATAGATAAAAATGTCATCTTCCAAGCAGTTGTGAACCATCAAGTAGAGAGAATAAATGGAAAGAAAGGGGATTCCCTTCAAATGTAATCTAAATATTTTTTACCTCTTTCAACTATGCTGGCTCACCCTTTGAAAGCTATACTGACTACCCTTGACTAAACAATGGTTCCCCCCACTATAGATGGCAGGTGGACTGAACCCAGAACATGAGATATTAAAGAGAGTTACCTACAAAAGATGAACCATCTCTATGTGTAAGCTCAGCCTACGATACCCTCTATCTTCCCTTCTTATTACTACCGACTTTCCTTTAAGTAACGGTTTTGATGCTTTGTTTCCCATTCCCCACCACATATAAATTCTTCTATATGTCAATTCTTATTGTCTGATTTCTGCTATTAGAGCTCCATAGAAGCCACACTCTGAGAAGCCAACAATAAAAATCCAAATGACAAATCTAGTAACTTTTTGGTTCTAGATTTGTTCATTTTCCTACTCCGACTTTTCTTACATTTCTTCAAATTACTTATCACTACTTAAAATGCTTTGTTAATTTCCTTTTTTCTTTGTTCATCATCTCTTTCCACTAGAATTTTGAGGCTTTGTCTTTGTGATTAATTGAGGTAGCCTCCGCAGCTGGGAAAGTGCCTGGCATATAAGAAGCACTTGGTCGAACAGGTGAATAAAACTGATCTACTCTAGTGTTTTAAACTCTCATCTTTACATAGAAAATCTAAAACATTTAGCTCAAATCTCCCTTCCAAACCATTGATTGACATTTCTACCCATCTCTCATGTACCTCTACAGGGACAACCTGACAACAACTCTAATTCAATATAGCCCATCCTTCGCTGCTCCAAATTTGCCTTCCCCTTGACTTTCCCAATTACTCAGGCTCAATACTTTCCCTCTGCCTTTTGTCCACTTAGAAAACTCAACTAACTATTAACTCTTCCAGCTGTTTATTTCTTTCTTCTTTTTACCCATAGTCATTACTCTATCTAGTTTAGATTCTGACTCTTTCTTATTACTTCAAATTCCTGCCCCGTAATTTACTTTTCTTTACTGAAAGACAACTGAAAATTTACTTTACTCAGTGAATCCTATCTTTCTTCAAAGCTCATAACAAACCTCTTTAATGAAATCTTTTATAATGTCCCTGACTGGAAATGTTCTCTTGACCATGTTTCTGTTTGGTAATTTTCATATGACTTACCAGCATCTGACCTTGATTATAATTACCTCCATGTTTCATAGCGCTAAAGTAGTTGATGACCTTCCTCAGATCAGAGTTTGTGTTGGTGTTTTGCCTTTTTATTTATTTATGTGGGGGAAAGGGGAGAGAGGCTTTAATTGTTCTTTGTATTCCTAGGAGAGGGACATAAATAGCACACAAAACAAAGCAAAGGAATTTGACTTTGTCTCTAGTTCCTACTCACCTGTTCTTGTTGCTGCTTGGCCAGCTCCATCTGCTGGCGCTGCTTCTCGATCTGAGATGCAGCCAGTTTCTTCTGCTCGTCATGGGCAGCCAACAACTGCTCGCGCAGGCTGGTCAGCTGATTGATCATACCCATGAGCTGCCTCTCCTTCTCAGCTAGGCTTTCAGGAGTCCCTGAAAATGATACAGCAATAAAGTATATAAGAGAGGACACATGAGATGACAATAATTTTTCAACAACAATTATTCTGTTGCCTAGAGAACTGTTCCAAATATAAGATTGAACACACAAATGATACTTTTTTGGATTTGAACACAGCAGTAAAAAGTGATGGTTATTTACCCATAACAAAATATCAGAATGAATGAATATTATGATTGTTTTTATTATTTATAACAAGTAACAACTGATAGCTTTCTCCCCTTTATTGTACAAGTAAACCAAAAGCTATAGGCTGACTAGCTACTATTTTTAATGTCCTACATTGGAGCCTGATGGAAATTAAAAAAATCTAAAGTGCAATTCACCTGGACCTATGTAGTTTTTCAAATCAAATTAAAGTGGTAGTACAAAAACATGAAAATTTAATAACCATAATTACTAAGAGTTCAAGGTATTATTATCAGTGATATGATTCCTTAAAAAGAAACTTGAGGAATCAGAACTTAGGAAGCTTACATTAAAAGGGGAAAACAAACTATTCGCCAGTTAAGTCTGAGCCTGGTTTCTCACACGCCACTCAGACTTTTTTCAAAAATAGAATATAGCTAGCAAAGAAAATACCCAAGTTTGAGGTACAAAAATAGTCTATCATGAAATAATGTAATATGATTGAAAATGAACAGACTGCTTTATGGTCACTCAAGATTACAGTTAAATCTAAGATCTAAAGAAGTCACAGCAGTCATTTAAAATAAATAGGGTGCTCAAGATTTGAAAGCACACCAGTGAATCATCTAAGTGGGGTTAACATACTTATTTGATACCATAGAAAGGTGAGCAGTTCACTTAAACAGAAACATTATCACTTTTAATTGTTCTGAAACTCACCAGAGATAAGACCTCTATGGTAAAGTAATAGCGGAAGAGGAGAACATACTTTTTAATTACAATTTTCACTTGAAACATAAGACACTAAGCACTGTTTTAATAATGCATTTGCCACCTGTATAAGTACTTAGACAGCAGAACCTGTTACAACTCGGTCACCCTTCCCCATCCCACTGCATTTCTCCCTACCGATTTATGTTGAAAAAGCATGTGCTTTTTAAAGAAGTAGTAGCTATAGTTAGTGGCTTAAAATTTTCATTTGCCCATTGGGAATGGAAATAAAGTTTCTAATGCAATTTACATAGGCTAGAAAAGAAACATCCATAAAAGAAATTCTGAGTGAATGTAAGGCAAGAATCATGCCTTATACTCCTGCCTTATTCATTGCAGGTACTCATTAGATAGACACTAATAATTTATTGTACCTCAGTTATTCAGATCCATCAAAAACAAGGACACTTACTCAAAGAATAACTATGTGACTATTATAATTAGAATTCTAACACTGAAATATCTAAATACGGGAAAGGTTTCTAAATAAAAATATCCAGCCCTGGCTGGTGTGGCTCAGTGGACTGAGTGACGGCCTGCAAACCAGAGGGTTGCTGGTTTGATTCCCAGTTGGGGCACATGCCTGGGCTGTGGGCCAGGTCCCTGGTTGGGGGTGTGTGAGAGGCAACCGAATGATATACCTCTCACACATTGATGTTTACCTCCCATTCTTTCTCCCTCCCTCCCCCTTTCTCTAAAAGTAGGTGAATAAAATCTTTTAAAAAAGGAAAATATCCAAATGATGGTAAGATGTGCATCTTCATATACTGTCAGTAAAGGAGTAAATTCTACCACATTTCTGGGATACACAATAGGAAAAGTAATCCTAAATCATCCTCAAGGGCATAATTTCACTTCTAAAATCTAGCCTAAGAAAACAGCAGGAGACCTGACTGGTGAGACTCAGTGGATTGAGCACAGGCCTGTGAACTGAAGGGTCCCCAGTTTGATTCCCAGTCAGGGCACATTCTTGGTTGCAGGTCAGGTCCCCAGCAGGGGGTGTGTGAGAGTCAACCACAGATTGATGTTTCTCTCCCTCTCTTTCTCCCTTCCTCCCCCTCTCTAAAAATAAATAAATAATAAAATCTAAAAAACCCGAAAACAACAGGAAATTCAACCCATAACAGTTACCTTCACATGGTGACAATGTAACATAAATACTGCTCTACTGTACTTAGGGAGAGCTCTTGCTCCCAATTCCCTTCTCTGTCTCCACTGTCATTCTCCATCATCTTTTTCATACATTGTTATAGCAAACTTTCAATAGAACTTCCTGTCATTAATTTTTATCTCTCTAAGCCTATCCTTTAAGTAGGCACCAAAGTTATCTTCCTAGAAAACAAATATTGTAATATCACCTCCTATGTTTAAATACTTCCACTATTTTCTAAAGAAAACGTCAACTGATCCTTAAAGAAATGAATGAATCCCTTCAAAATATAACCCAACCTTCCCGTTCCTTTGTGCATCTTAAATTCTAGTCACACTGAATTCTCCACTATTCTTCCCAAATAACACCCTTCATGAGTGAGAACTACCTAAACATTCCTTCTTCATGCTGGAGCTCATGTGTGTTCTTCTTTGTGATTCTTTTCCTTATTTACACTAATAACAGTCATTCCCTTCCTTAGGAATCCAAACAGTATGTATCTTTATTATGATAATTAATCATTAATTGTATTATTTTATTTTCACATTTGTCTCCTAAAGCTGACAGAGATAGTTGTGACAGCCACAGCTGTAAATTACCATTTTTTATATCTTCATTACCTATTATAGAACCTGGCATATAGTGAATCATCTAAACATGTTTAATGAATAACATAAATAATAAAGGCCATTCCCTTTATACCACTCTGAAGGTTAGGAATGCCATATAGCCAAGGAAAATGGGGAGATGTTTTATCTTATAAAATACTTGCATAAGTGTGTATCCTGGTTTCGACTCAAAAAAGTTAAGCCAAGGAACTTAAGCTTTTGTAAAAGAAAATTTCCCCATTTTTATGAGTACTAAATGAAGATAAAGGAGTAAGTTCCATGGTTTCATCTCTAAATTATCATGTTCTTTATAATGATCTCCCAGTGTGTGGGGAGGTTATAATAAATGATCTTAAGAATACTGGAAATTCTAGTAATAGTTACAAAACATCCTAAACTTAAAAGAGAATTAACTAGATCATTGGGAAATCCCAGAGGCCCACTAAACAAAAAGAGGAGCTACTTTCTTTACTTAGATTCAAAATTTTAGGATTCATACAAGTTTGTAACACTATGGGGACACAACCATGTGTAGGTATATGGACTCGCTCCATCAGACTCAAATAGTGTATGTGAATGATTGTAGTTTATTTTCATTTTCTCAGTTATTTGAACTCTTATGTGTTTCAATCTATTCTAGTCTGGCTTCAATTCCTTAGGATGAAGGATTACTGAAGTAAAAGACAAAAATACTCTACATTCCAGTTTTCTCTGCTGCTTAGTAGCTACAGGCAGATTAATCATTTGAGTGATCCTTATAGCTCTGTAGGTTCCATAAGAGAAGAAGAACAGGTCAGAATATTCCTTAATAGAACAATGTACAGATGTCACGAGGGCAGGAAACCAGCTTTAGTCATCCCCTGTTCAGTAAGAGGTGTCACCGCCGGACCCATGTTTGAATTCCTTTGCTTGCCTCACTTTCTATAGCCAATGCCCTGGGAATCCAGTTAACCTAAGACCATATTATAAATCAGCCCAAGGATTGTCATTTCCACCACTACTCCTTAATCCAGATCACCATCATTGCTTGCTTGCCTTGAGGACTACAACAGCTTCTAACCATTCTACCTGCTTCCACTTCTTCCCCTACTAAATCCATTCTCCAAGCAAAAGTTCAGAGTACTGTTCAGAGAGGTAAATCAAATACTACCGCATACATGTATAAAACCATGTCATAGCTTTATACCGCCTATAGAATAAAATTAAAAGTCCCTACCCTTACAAAGCCCTGAATGGTCAGGCTCTGAATTTCTGTGGCATCATCTCACCCATTTTCTCTTTTGCAGAAATGCGTCAGTTGTGTGGCCTTCTTTGAGTTCCTCTAAGACCAATACACAAACATGCTCCCACCTTAGGGCTTTTGTCTCTAGTTGCTTCCCCTAGGAACTTCTGCCCCTACATCGGGGTTTCCCAATCAGGACACTTACTCACCTTTTGGGCCACAGCATTCTTTTTCTGGAGCTGTATTCAATAGTGCCTCTGGCTAGATGTTGGTAGTACTCCCCACCTAGCTACAACACCCCTTAAAAATGTCTCCAGACACTGCCAAATTTCCCCTTGTAGAGCAAAAACATCCCCAGTTGAGGACTTCATCAAATGACTGGTTATTTTCTTTAACTCATTCAGCATCTGTGCAGAGTTCCTCCCATGTGCCTCACACTAGTCTGTGTGCTGGAGATGCAGAAGTGCACAGGCCTGACAAAAAGTCTGCTTCATGGACTTTGCGTTTAAATGAAAGGGATAATCAATCAGTCAGTCAGTCAAATTCAGATCCATCCAGATAGCAGTATTTGTTGGATTAACTGAAAAATACAGTGAATAAACAGACTAACTTAAGTTAACCTAAATTTATGACTAAAGCTTCTTTTAGTGGCATGCTTACCCAACAAGAGAGAAAGGCAGACCCCCTTCAGATTTATTACTTGGGACCTGATTCTTATTCCAGATCTTCTTGCTTTCAAATTGTTCAATGTATTTAAACAGAATTACCTCTTTCAAGCCACATACTGAATCAATATCTCTCTTTTATCTCAAAATGTTACGTCGCCTAAGAGGGGATCTACTTTAATCCACATGTTGAATCCACCTAGGATGTCTCTAATTCATGAGCTCCAAAAGGCCATAGTGTTGCTGCGTGGATTATTTTTTGAATACGTTCATTACTGGCATCATAGAACTGTGTGGTGTTTGCCTTCGTGTCCCAACTTCTAGAAAGAACAAAATGATCAAAAACAGCCAATTTTTTACTATCTTAGCTTCAGCCGGCATTTTCCTTAACACCAGATACCACATGCTGCCTGCCTGAGTTAATGCATTCTGAGCGGGGTAAGAAGAGTCTAGGAGGGAAACTGATGGGAAAGAAACCAGGCTCTCAAGAAGGCAGGCGGAGAACCTGATCTAGGCATTTCTGAGTAGCCTAGGCAGAAAACCTCTCCAACAATGCCCTTCTTTTATACCCTCACCAAACAGAAATACTAGGTGAGAGAACTTCACATGCAGCCATTTTTGGTTATAATTCTACAACTAAATTGAAGTCAGTAAAAATACAAACTTGCAGTGACGTTATTGAGAAACAAAAGATCTGTTATAATTAGTCAAAGCCACCATGGATCCTCAGATACTGTTCTCAGGTGAAGTGCCAATGCAGTGACCTTCACGCTTGCTGAAACAATGCGCAACACAATTGGCTGTCATCTGGAATGTGGGCATTGTTTTTCCTCCCCCTCCAGTAACTAGGAGGCTATAAAAGGTCTTTCTTTATTTCACAGGACCTTTCGATAAAGGCAAAAAACACTGTAAACTGGCCAGTTCCATTATATGGCTGAGAAGAGAAGAAATAACTTTTTTTTTTCAGGCAGCTAATCAGCTTGTTAGATAGATGGACTGTTTGCTGTCTGCAGAACTTTGTAGTCAAACTGCAAAACTAGATCTAGTGTCCTTTCTCTGTGCTTTTTTTAGAGGATTGTTTCTAATGTAACTTTAAAATCGAATTACTTCACACTTCCAAAGTACCAGACCATAAGATGGTATAAATTCATACAGACGAAATAATCTAACCTGAAAAATAATTTTATGCTTTTAAAACTGGTGACCTTTATGGACTCACATTGTTTCTTAAAAAGTGAGATTGACTTTAAGCAGGTATGACAAAAAATTTATTATTGATAGCTGAACTATCCAAACCAAATGCTATTTCTTTTTCTTCCTTTAAAAAAATTAGCACTTTTACTTTTTCAACAGTAAGAAACACATCTTTGAAACCGAGCTGTAACTGTAATCTCTGTCTACACACCCTGAAAGTAACTCACCCGCAGCAACTGGAAGCCAGCCCTTAGGAGCTGAGCTCTGGTCTTGCTTGGCCGCAGCCTTAGATGCTCAAGAATAGGTGTGTGGGGCTGTGTGTATGCACTGACACACACACACACATTCATGCACCCACTTGCATTTTTCCTAGAACTAATTAAAAGTCAAGTGCAAACTGGTCAGCATAAATGTTGGAGAAAAGTTTCAATCCACAAGAAGACTCGGTAAATACCATAGAGGGAATACACATCCCAAATTAAGCAATGATTCTATTCCAATAAATATTCTAAGGTATCATTATTAAATTATCTAATAATGAAATACATTCATATTTTCAGACGAAAAAAAGCTCATACTTATTCTTCCCTACCCCGGCTGAGTCCATGAGACTTACACCTTTTTTTACCTCATAAAAAAAGCAGCTGCTGAACAGCTAAGCCATTGTTCTTGTCCAACTTCTGAGGTGGCATGAAAACCACATTCCTGGGCCCTACATAATCATAGGGAGTCTGACCCCCCAAGAACCATTAAGTAAAATTTATTTACCCCCAGAGGGCAACCCACAATTGTATCCTCTCCACTTTCTAGCCACCTATGAACAATGGATAGTAATTGCAACTGTCACGGGCAGTCAGCAGGGAAAGCAGCCCAGCGAGATTTTCCCAGTCTTCTGCCAAACCAGATCTGAGCACCTAACAACCATGCCCCCGAAAGAAGAAAGATCTACAGTTGCTTTTAAAGTGCATCAGAAAACAGCATTTTGAACAGAACCAGAGCACAATAACCAAACTTGTACTCTGAATGCGAAGCTTAAAAAAAAACTCCAAATTAAAGACAGAAACTTCTCTCGAGACTGTACTACAGCTTCCTGAACTGACCCCACAGACAAGCCTGAAAGGACAGCTGAGCTTCTTTCCTCTAAGCTTATCATCTCTGCTGTTGCTGCTTTTAAGTCTGACTTGTGAGGAAAACAAGGGAGGGAGAAATGTGTGTCCTCCAGTGCAACGAGATCACAGGGTTTGGGATGGGCTCTGCATTCACTCGTTACCCAGGTCGGAGGAGAACACAGAACCTCGGGGAATAATACATCCTTTGTGTCAGGTGCAAATGGGTTAAAATCCAACAAAACAGTATAAAATATATGCCACCTCAGTAAAAACTTCTTCGTTCTCTTTCAACTTTGTCTTCAAGTCCTTTTAGGAATGTTACTATTTGTTTAAATTGGATTCCAATACAGGTTTTGTTGATTAGCACCTATTCATTCTCTCACCTCCCATTCATATCTAATCATAGCCTGAATATACGTGAATTCCAAATATATTGATGAAAAGCAAACTACTCAGTCAAATAGTTTCCGGAAGTTTCAGATTGTGATGATATTAGTGGCACGTGAGTCAGGCGTTCGTGAAGCCCACTCTGTGCTTCGCCTTCCTGCAGGACAACGCTCTTATGTGGAGACTTTAGAGAGAAAATGACCTCTCTCACAGGGAGCATGCACACGCATGCACACATGTGCAAAGAAGTTACTTACACACATAGCTGCACATGTACACCATTATAAATCTGGTGATATATTGAATAGATATTCAGTCCCTATCACAAAATATACAGAGGAATACATAGCAATATTTTAATATGGATCAGTTTTATTCTAAAAATATATCCTTCAGAACTCAATCAAAACTGTCCTATTAGCAACAAATAGAAAACCAAAGATTGCCTACTGTACTCTAAGACACACTTTTAAATTAATTTGAAAGGATTACTTAACCATATTTTTATGGGAAATTTAATCTTGTCCCTTTGTTCTTAGGATAAGTTTATTAAGATGTGAATATTCAGTATTGTCTGAAGTCTATACAGAATTTTTCTGTTATTTGTACGTAACTTCTGACTGAAAAAAACAAAAAGAAAGACAGAAACGTGGCCCTTATTAATACAAAGCAACCTTCTTTTAAGCATTCCTCATTCATCATTCTGATTTTAAATGTAGATTATATACATCCATACTTCTAATATGTGGCATGTATGAAATCAACTTGTAACCCACAGTTTTTAAAACTTTAGGTACATACCTACTTAAAACGTATACCACTCATTTTTAAAAAAATATGAATCTCAAAGCCTGCTAAAAGTACAGTGAGATCATTCTATTAAAACACACCATTATCCCATACGGTACAAACAGGGCAAAAATAAGAACCCTGATATACCCACTTTCAAGCTACAAAGAACAAACACCAAAGATAGTGAATGCACGAGGCAGAACAGGGTGGGGGCAGAAGGACTTCATTGCTATTCGTGTTCCTAAATATTAACTTCATTTTGATAGATTTTGGATCAAAATAATTACAAACATATTACCTTTTATTTCACCAAAGTTCCCTGATCCCATTGCAAGAAGCTTGTCTTTCCAGTCCTTTGATAGTAGCTTCTCAATACTGGGGGTTTCTAAGTAAAGAAGAAAAAAGGTAAGCAATCAACATGACTGTCTTGACAATGGAGCTCATCAAAAGTCTAGCTGCTAGATCCTGGAGGGGGCGCTCGGTTGGAGTGTTGTCCTGATATGCCTACGTTGTGAGTTCTATCCCCAGTCAGGGCACATACAAGAATCAACCAAGGAATGCATGAGTAAGTGGAAGAACAAATCAGTGTTTCTCTCTCTTTTTTTTTTCTCTTTCTGATCCCTCCCCTCAAATAAATCCAAGTTGTTTAAAAAAAATTTTTAAAGTCTATCTGCTAAAAATAAGGCCATCCCAATCCCAGCCCCAGTTCATAATGACTTCATCAACAAACTGATAACAGGGGAGGAAAAAAAAGAGTGTTTTGTTGCTTGCTGTTTCAAAATCATTAGCTTTTTCCTTTCGCAGAACAAAGCGGTTCTAATTCTTTATGACAATGGGTACATATAAGCCTGCAGTTCATTGTTTTTCAATTTGGTGAATAAATTTCTGCTATAATGGATGCTTGTCAATTTCAGGGTGTTAGTCTGCAGTCAAAAAATAATTATGTTGATAAAATGCAGAGTAAAAAAAAAGGCAAAGAATTAGCTCTTAAATCTGCTACATGTAATTATATCCCTCTGTGTGTTTACAATTACATCCACTTTATAATATGTGTTTAACATCATGTGGTGGTAAGCACACTGTGGAAAGATTTGCCGTGAACATTAAAAAAAAAGTTGGTACAAAAGAAGCTGTACAAAGATTGCAAAATCTAGAGAAGTGAGTAATGCCTATAATGGAAACCTATTATTTGCTTATTTCAGATTTGTGTCACACTCTTTTTAAAACACCCTGCACAGGGACCAGGCACACACATTTTAGAGAGCCAAGCTAGGCTGTAGTCTGATATTTGTCTCTATACATCACCCAGTTCTGACCTCTCCTTTTGTGTCTGAATGTTAATGTATAAGTAAATATAAATGCCAACAAAACCCCCAAACATTAAACTCGGTTCCAAACAATGTAATTGTATATTCTTGTCAGCATTTAGATGGGTACACAATTACAATGGCTTTCAATCCCACGATTAGCACTGCATTCAGTTAGAAAATGGAGTGTACTAAAAGATAAGTGTCCCAGTATGCTCCATCTAAATAACAATGCCCACACTTATTATCTCGATCTGAGACGTGCACTGCCATTCTCCCCACTGGTGTTTATGTGTGTTTGTGTTTGTGCAGACATTCGTCTACCCCCTACTAGGAGTATAAAGGGAGTACATGTTAACTTATCAAAGGAACCGTCTGGCCTAGAGACCATCAGATTATTAGAAACTGGTTAATTTTCCCCACATCAAATGCATTGTAAGACCCCTTCATCCTCATCTTTAGCTAATGCCATCTACTCTTCTGAAGGCCGAGATCTTGCTGCCATCCGCTACCAGAATCTCAAAGCCTGTGTGGAGCTCTGAACAAAGTAAAGGTGAAATTTTCCCGGGAGTAACTATAACAATATGGAATGTTTTGTTTTCAGATGTCAAAACCTTGTGGAAAATAAAATGGGGGTGAAAGAACTCTGATTACTGCTTTACATCGTCTGGATGGATGGTGGAAATTGTATACATCACCACTACACTGTGCACGTTTACCTACAGAATGCATGAAATGTATTTTTTCCTTTGTAATAAAATATGTATTTCCATTTTTCACATTTAGGGAAGACATCCTAAACAATTTACTTCTTCTTAAAATATCCCTTCTTATACCATATTGTTTTAAAAATGGTAATGACAATTATACAAGCAATAAAATGAATTAAATATATTCTTACTGTTATCGATATTTCTGTTTACTTAAGCTTTAAAGGTAACTTTACACACTTCTGCAAAGATTTCCAATGTCTCTACGTACCCAGTACACACTTCATGAGTGAAATTATTTTTTAAACCTTATCAGAGTAGGTCAAACAAACACCACTGTTTCTTTTTTCTAGCACTCTACAAAAATTCTTGAGAAGCATGTAAACAGGGCACAGCCAATATGGTATTTGCAATAGAGTACTGTCAGTCATTAAAAGCTAACAAACCTTTGCAAAGCAGGAATGCAGCAATAGAAATCCATTGTGCACTAACAATAAGCCCCTGAACCTCCCGGCACCAAAAGCAGACCATTTTACTTTTAAGGCTATTGTCTGCAAAGTCCATGACAAAGCTTTTCCCCTGCAGCTAGACAAAATATTCACTGTAGTGTGCTCATAAAGAAACAGAAGTCTTCTGTCTAAGTTGCAGAGTTAAAGAAACAGCCACCAGATTTCTGAAACCTGCAGAACATTCCCGGCCTCTTTATTAACTTACATAAAGATAGAAGGCTCATATACAGAGCCGCTTTTTTCAAGGACCTGCCTTTTAACATAAACTACAGAAAAATGAATAACTTCTTTGAGACCAAGTGATTTGGGAGATGCAAAATCAGAAACATATCTCACTTGAGGTTGTCATATCTGCGGCTGAATGAAGACCCTAATATTTGTAATTTGGATGAGGTACATGCTTTAAATTCAGATTCAGTAAACATTTATTGAGCGGCCTCTGTGTCAGGACCTATGCTAGAAGCCTTCACCTGTATTTTCTCATTTAATCACAGCCACCACCTGAAGACTCAGGTTATGTTGTTACATCCACTTTACAGGTCTAAAAAGAAGAGAAGGACTTGCATCTTGAACTGTTTTTGCTTTGCTGTTCCCTACAAATTCCTAACTCCCTTGACAACAATGAAACCCTGAGGAGAGCTACTATTTTGAGGGCTAAATGCTGCGCGGGATACCGGGCTCTCTGCATGCGGCATCTTCAACTTCTCACAGTAATTCTCTGAATTAGATTTTTCTACATCCATTTTTACCATATAGGAAACCAAAGTTTCGGGAGCTATTCGTGACAGTTCAATACCAAGTTAGCTCAAATGACTGAATCTCAAAGCCTTTGTTCTTTCTAGAACACACACACACACACATGTCTTCATCTGTAAAACGAGAGTAGACAGTATGTGGAAACTAGTGTCACTGTGGGGTTTCAAGGGAGTCTCCCCAGAACGTGCCACCCTGGCTGGCAGATTCCTTCCAGGTGAAAACAATTAAAGCCCAACAAAGTCAAGAAGAGTATTTGTTTTTGTTTTTGTTTTTTGATTTTTTAAAATTTTATTTAGTTATTTTTCAAGTACAGTTTTTTGTCTATTTTTCCCATCCCAGCCTCCCCCGCCCCTTGCTCCCCACCTCCCTCCCATTTCCACCCCCCTTAGTTCTCGTCCCTGTGTCCTTCCTATTTGTTCCTTGTTTTTGTTTTCAACCTCCCCCTCACCTGCCTAAAAGGATTCAGAAAAAAAAACAAAACCCAAAGACACTGAAATAGAGAACAAGGGGACAGTGACCAGAGGGGAGAGGTAAGGAAAGTTAAGGGGAAAAAGGGGGAGGGATTTGGAGGAACAAATAGGAAGGACACAGGGATGAGAACTAAGGGGGGTGGAAATGGGAGGGAGGTGGGGAGCATGGGTCGGGGGAGGCTGGGATGGGAGAAATAGACAAAAAAAAACTGTACTTGAAAAATAACTAAATAAAATTAATTTAAAAAAAAAGAAGAACCTGCTTCAGGAAGGGGGCTTCAGCGTATTCACCTCAGCACATACAATAAGTGGAGCAGATGGGGAGGGTCCAAGCAAAAATCTGTTCACTGGATTCCCCTCTGTGTCCCACTGTTTCTACATGGCTCTGCAAGAATTTGTTTTTACCAAATGTTTGCTCTTTCTCGTCTACCTGTGAATTGCCTACCTTCCCCTCCTTAGTCCCAAATGACACATAAGCCTCATTTTCCCTTGTGGTCTTTGGAATTTTCATGCTACGTGAATCTCCTCTGCATATATATTAAAATTAGATTTGTCTCCTGTTAATCTGCTGTATGGAGTTTGGATTATTCAAACAGCCAGAAGAACTAAAGGGGCATGTGGGAAGTTGCTCAGCCTCCAAATCATTAACTCCATTGGATGGGCGAAGTAAAAACTTGAAAGAATAATTGAATTCCCTGGTGCCATGTAGCTCTGAGCAGTATGGTGGTGGGATTAAAAACCAAGTTTTCGTACAGTTTATGTTCAGGATACAGTCCCACAATATGACTTTGCACTTTAGATTTTGGGTGATTTAAGGAAAACCTGTGACCATTTGGCAGCAATATAAAATGAAGTGAAAATGCATTCATATAGTGGAAAGATTATTGGCCGGTAAGTCAAACAATCTGGGTTCTCACCAAGACCTGCTCCCTGGCTAGCTCGGAGGGACCCAAAGTACATTATTTTACTCACTTCACCTCTCTATCCAAATTATTGTAGAACAAGTGTTTTAAACAAATCCACACCTGGTATTCTATCAGCTACTGTTTCAACTTGTTTCCATTGTAGCTCATGAAGCAGTGGCAAGAAATGATCTCACTATAATCAGCACAATGGACAGACAGGTACAAATGATTGAAATTTCTCTAAAAATGGTAAAGACTATGAATATTCATAATTATAAATGTAAACTATCAAGTGTTAGAAGATCAATATTTATAATACACTGTTTATGAATGTATGTATATAAGTAAACTAACAATTTGAAAAATTTAATATGTAAGTTCTGCTTCAGTGCTTATGGAGTAAAAGAGATAGTAATTACCTACTAAATATTCCATTTTCTAAAATATAATATGTTTTTATAAATACATATCAAAATCCATTTTATATTACTATGACTATGGAATTACTATGACTAAGGAATGTGTGCTTTATTATTTCCAAATGTTCAAATTCTGTATTACCCATTATTTCCATGTTAAAATATATCATAATTTTAATTGAAAAACTTTTAAAATTTTTTAGTCCTCACCTGAGGATATGTTGAGAGGAAGAAAGTAAAGAGAGAGAGGAAGGTGGGAAAAGAAAGAGCAAGGGAGAGAAACACTGACTGGTTTCGCCCACACATGAC